TTCAAGCCTCCTAATTAAGATATCTAATGTAGGCACGCTTTGTCCCTCGTATAACTGGTAAATTTTACGCCGTATTATATCTTGATCACTTTCGTCTACACTCGAGAAAATATCAGCATCGTTTCTTTTGTTCCTCGCTGAAATGGGATTATTCACAATTTTTCATATAGTTAATGTTGGAATTTTCGTCAATGTGGCCGTTTCTTCTAGAGATGCCTTCTTGCTGGCACCACGTTCAATGAGAGTCAAATAAACATTGTTTATAACTTCCTTAGTCTCAATGGAATAGTGTTTTCTACATTTGGGCCGGAGCATCTCCTGAGATACACCAGACTCGCACATATTTTGCATAATTTGCACATAATTCAACACACGCTGTATTACACACGAAATAAGAATGATTACTAATCAACTCAAACTAAGTAATATACCAAAGAATATTAAACACAGGTAGGTATAAAATTATTTTCTATTACGGACCACAATTTTACCTGGATTTAAATTCCGAAACTTTAGGTAATAATCTTGTTGCATTGTATGTTAATGACCACCCTTGGATAATCCCATTCAAAAGCAATTGGTCACTTTCTTATATCTATAAACAGATCATACCTACCTTACCTAGAGTAATGAAAGATATAGGTTCACATTATTAATTGGCGGCACAGGTGTTGTGAACCTTACATGTACATATAAATGATATGTAGTATTAATTAGTTACTAACGTGTATTTAGTTATGTATTTGTTGTTTCATTTAAAGAGTACCGAAAGGATGCTTTGTAGAGCCTTAAAGACTTAAGGTTAAGGTTCCGTTCAACGTTTTTTACCTTGTCTCTGCTTGTCTGCCGATAAGTTTTATTAAATAAACTATTAAGTAAGTGATAAATTGGTTAAGGCTTTCGCGGCCCGTTGATAAGCTATTATCTTCATTCGGGTTTAAAGGCCGTCGTAGATTGGAATTACTTCCTAACGTTTTGCTAGCACGAGTGGCGAGCTTCTTCAGAGGTCCTTTACGACCTCCACTGGTCGTCTATTTCTTGAACTATCTTCAAGGGACTTCTGCCCCATTCAAAAACGTTTTTCCTATTCTTTCACTACAGAATACGAAGGTGAACTTTGGCCGTACACACCATCCAGCCTTTCTTTAATAATTTTAGGTGCTAAGCCTTCTTTTGTCAGAATCTTTATGACTCCTCTATACTCAATTTGCGTTATGTGCGGCATTTTTTCAGACACGTCTTGTTTAGAATGCTGTCAATAAAAAACTATTTGACGCAAGACTTCAGTTTTTTTTTTCGCAGCCTATTAAGATATATATTTAAAAGAAGACAAAGTTTTATCGTGATCTGTGATGTCAGGCCGGGAAATTTTGGAGCTAACCTCGTACATAAAAACTAAGTAAATTAAAAGCGTTGGGGTGAAATTGGCAGACGAACGGCGTAATTTGTTTGAGACCGGACCTGATTGTTGCCCGACATCGGCGGTGCTACGGCCGGCAACGGTGCGCTCCGTAAGACGCCACATTGTATTCTCAGTGTGACTTGGACTGTAGGAAGAGCATCATTGCAGATGGTGACTACTGCATTATTCACGACGTGTCGATGGTCGCGAAAATTTCATGATTCGAGTATTTTATCCGCCACTATCGATGCGTCCTTTGTTTCGATGTCGAATGTCCGCTGTTGTATGTGACTTGGAATCTTTGTTAGTTATTGATTTGACCTCTAACATTATTTGTTAAATTGAACAGCTGAACTTACAGATCAATAATGCCATAACGCTTATTGTACTATAGCATATTTTCTGCTACTCGGCTCTGAAATACCTAATTATGAGTTGATCTATCTCCAGACACTTCGAGCCTTACTTTAGTCACTGATTGGTTGGGGATCTGATGTTATCAATGCAGATGTAAAATACTGATAGTATTTTCATATTTATCAGTTCTGATCGTCCTTGGTGGTTTTTCAGTGATGTTATTTTTTCCTTTTAGTTTTAACGAGACGCGTGTTGTGATAAAGTTATTAATAAGTTATGGAAATTGGAAAATTATGATGATGAATTATTCGAACCGCGTTTAATTTAAAAATATTTTTCAGTAGATTCCAGCTTCATTCAATGTTTGTGCCCTATATAGTATGATTCACTTATGTTTTCTTCTCTGTTATGAAATGACATTATATAAAACGGGTTTTATATGGACAATGCTTGAATTAATTTATAGTGTAACAAGTTGTACAATTTATTGTAAAGGCCCACAATAAACGCAATAAATAACTACAACCAAACCTAAAATCGCTCCTAAATTAGGATTACACTAATGTGCATACAATAAAAAGACGAGTTTGGAGATCAAATAAATAAAACTTATATAGAAGTAAGAATAATATACAAATAGATAAATTGTAAGAAATATTAATAAAAATAAATTTTAGTCATTGACCTATAATTCAGAGAAATCATAAGTGTTATCTAAAATCTACCATTAACTTCCACAATCTTCTATTTCAGTTGTCTGTTGGAAGTACGTACTCCCTCATACTAATTTTATGGGTTCATTTTAATGTGATTTAGTCGACAACAAATTTTGTACAAAAAGGTTTTGTCAGATTTACAATATCCAGTAGCTCCATTTTGAGAGTATCATTCTGAAGTGGCTTTCTATTTAAAGGAATGTGTCTGGAAAGGAAAGGTAACTAACATTCTTGATCACTATACCAGATCCAGGAGGAATAACATTCAGAATTTGCTGGAAGTAGTCTTCAAAAATATCAGCGTTCATGTCGGATCACTAAGTTTTACACTTCAATAATGATTTCTAACTTTCTGGCATTTAGGAACAGTATTTAGTATTTTCCTGGGGTCTATCTAAATAAGTTTTCTTACTACTAGGCGGCCAGGCGATGATTTCTAATAGCTAATATAAACAGATGGTGTGCGAGAGAGAGGGGAGAGAGATAGAGGAAAATTTTTAAAAATCTTCGTTTTTTGAATGAAATAATTGTAGTTTTAGTATACTTACCTTTTTTTTCAAAAATATTCAGTCGAAACTTGTTGCTGATGTCACTTGTAAAAATAAAAAAAATGCACCAAAAAGTGTCCTTAATTTTACGCAATTTTTCTCAATATAGAAGACATGGTTATATGGTTTATATGGGAAAAATGATTTCCCAGCAATTGCTAGAATTTATCTCCTAAAAGTTGGTCCTTCCCGTAGTTCAGTGGAATTTTGCTAGGTTTGTCTGTCATCTAGCGCTAGGGCAGCCAATCCGACTGACGCTCCACCTATATCGAAAACAAGACACTATCCTTCTCTTGATAGCCCTCTATGAAACGCAGACTGTAGATGTATTTGAAGGATGACAAAAGTTATTACGCTGAGAAACACGGGTCCCATCTAATTACCCCCTCGCTATTCATAGATTAATCACGTGAAAATCCGGAGTTGCGTGCGCTTGCTAATTGTTTTGGGGGATTCCGGGTAAAAGTTAATTTAAACAGCTTGCGTAAGGGTGCAGGTGTTATCCCCGAAGACTAGTTTGCTTTAAAGATTGAAGGTTTATAGTTCGGTAAACAGAGAGGTCGACGTGAATAATTATAGAAACACGTATAGAGCGTTTCGAGCACGCACAGCTTACGACGTTTCGCAAACACCCAAGCGCACCGGTAAACGCTCTCACGGAAAGCTTTATCGGACTTTTGTTCTACTCAAATATGAAGAGAGTTTATTTTGAGTTTGGAGGAAACACTTTGATAAAAGGGATTGGAAGTTTTGTGGTCTAATGAAACGATTCCAAAGATCTAACAAAGGTGAACACTGTGCAAGTCAGTTTAATCCTGATTACTTCTGATATCTTTATTTTTTTCGAAAATATAAACTAATTAAAACCAGATAGCTCTGAGCATTGAAGAGATTTTGCAAATGAAAAAACATCCAAATTGATTTGTTTTCTTCCTTTTATGGTTCTACACCTCTATATAGTTCCGTACCTTCACTTTTATTGTGTACTGGGATAGTACAATTAGTTACAAGTATATTTCTATAATAATTATGGGTTGCGCTGTTCTCGGGTGTTCAGCATTGGAAGAATGGATAAAAACATTTTCCAATAAAGGATCATAATTACTATAGCTGGGATTATGACATTTCTAGCTTTCATTGAAAACTGAGCAGTTTTGTGTGGACTTGTAGGAAGGAGATAATTAAAATGGGATAATACAATTAGTTACAAGTATATTTCTATAATAATGAGAGTTGTGCTGCATGATACTTCCAGTGGTAACCTCTTCTCGGATGTTCAGCTATGGAAGAATGGATAAAAAAACATTTTCCAATAAAGGATCATAATTACTATAGCTGCGATTATGACATTTCTAGCTTTCGTTGAAAACTGAGCAGCTTTGTGTGGACTTGTAGTAAGGAGATAATTAAAACTATCTACCATGGACAGGTTCAATCCATTATAGGTTATAAAAACGAATATTGAGAACTAATATTTATATGCTTGGGGCAAGGAAATTTTGAAATGACATGCAGGTGAATTGAGCATTCCCAGACATAGTTCTACTCTCCTTGAAAAAGGAACATACTTCAGTGCATGTGTGTAAATGATAAATAATCCAATCATGTAAATCTCCTTTTTAATAAGGTCAAATACATTGATTAAAATTTTTTTCTTCATTTCAAGGAGCTCGCGTCTTTTTCAAAAATCTACTTGGCTTTCAATATACTTTTTAAGCGTAATTAACGAAAAATCGCCTTTTTCGACTTACTCAGTTTTTTGATCGTAGCTACGTTAGAGAAATGTAGCCATTAATTAACTGGATACGGGTAAACAAACAGAGTATTGACTTTATCACTTAGCGTTGAACGTGCACGCGAGACATAAATCACTTTAAGGGCAGCCTTCTCGAAAAAGGCTCGGTACAAAAAGTCTATAGCTTTCGCAAAATTAATATTATCCCCTTAATAACACCATTAATCATACGGAAAAATTACCTTGCGAAATAATATTGCCATCATCCTTGGTCCAGTAATTAATAGATTTTGGATAGGCTTCCGAGTGGCAGTCCAGTGTTATTTGTTGGCCCTCCATCGATCCGACGAGTTGATTTTGGATCCAGATCATCGGTGGGACTGAAATTGAGAAAAATGAAGCGGGATAGTTTTCACAAAAATAAGTTTTCAATATAAACATAAAAATAGATTTAGTAGAGTGTTATGTAAAATCAAAAAGAATTGGAGGAGCCCCTCCGAAGAACAAATTCGTTCCAAACGGGGTATTCTTTTATATTGACGGAACTTCACAACACAACAGCACAAAATCTTCCTAGATCTGTGCCTATGTCGGCACTGAAAGAACACCGTATCAGACAACCTATATAAACGCAGTAAGAGATATCTAGTGTCTATAAACAAGTCCGATAAAAGTAGGAAACCACCAGTCGAAAGAATTTTCACTAAAGAAATGAAACCAGGGTGCTCGGTGGCTACAATACTTTTTAAAATCTATTTAGAATTTGCACTAAAGGCTGCAAAGGAATGTGTGAAGGAATGGGTTTACCAATAGTGTTACACTCTGTTATTTGCTGATGTTGAAGCTTTGATAGCGGAAGACAGGGACGATGTTATATATAGTTATATGCTAAGGGCTTTATAAAAGTTAGAATCAATTATCAATACAAAGAAAATTCAAATTGAGAATTGGCTATTAGTTACAACGATAAAGAGCAAAGTGAATGCCAAGTTTTAGAGATCAAAAAACTGTTCTGTATTATTGTAATTTGAAAATAGTTTATTCAATGAAATTTTGTCTGTGTCTTATCGGAAGCAAGTGCGCGAACCAAAAATGGGCCCCGAAACTGCCATTTATTATGTTAAATATATAATTAATTTTTTGGATATTATAAAAACGCGCAACAAAATTGAGTCTGTATATAATTCATGTATTCAGACATTTTTTGACGCATGCATCAAATAGGCAGCAGTCTTGCACATTTCATGTTCTGTAAAGAACGTTTCGTTCCTTCCAGAAGATCGAGTGGTAAAAAAACTATTTAATAAAAGATGAAAGCCTATAGTTTTCAGAATTTTATTTTTCTATACGAATAGGCATTACACTTTTATATAAAAAAATTAATGATTATTACAGCTTCTTCCAGCATGACAAGCTGAATTGCCTAAATAGTTAGTTTTTACACACTTGCACCTTTTTGAATTGCATGTTCTTGAACAACTACAGCGTTTATATCCTTGTCCAAAACCAACTGAACCTTTAGGAACAAGCGTTCGAATATTTGTGTCATAATTAGATATGTCCAGGTATCTAATGCCATGCTTTGTACCCAGTATTTTAAGTAACTCATTTATATCCTCTTCTGTTATGCCATTGGAAATTGTAGCAACGAATTCTTGTGGTACTTTAGATCCTAGGCCTACTTTCCGCGGCTGACCAAACCTAGCTTTGTAAGGCTCCATTTTTATTGCATCGTGATAAGTGCTATTTATTCCCCATTGGACGAATTTCAGGCCCACCGTCCAAGAAGAAGTGTTATTGTCGGACATCCAAGAAACTAACGAATATTTTAAGGAGGAATTTGTCCTTTCTACACTACCTTGGCTTTGTGGATGGCGTGGTTTCAAATTGCGGTGAATTCTGGACCATCATCAGAGTGCAACACAGTTGGCGCTCCAAAGTCCAAAAAATATTTAGAAGTTCATTGGTTACTTCAACTGCACATTTACATATAAGTGTGTGTCCTTTGTAGTGCAAAATAAATTTATATTGGCTCTCAGGTAAACTGATAATCGATCAAATCGATTTGTGCTCTCGAATTTATAAAAGGTCTAACAACAATTCCAGTGCTGTTCGTTTTTTTTTTTAATTTCTCTGCACACCGTTCGCACTATTTCGATAAATTGTTTTATCATAACTATTGGTAATTGGCATAATGTTCTACAACTTTTACAAGTTTTATTTTCTTCTTTGTTTCCACAAGCGGTATGTAAATCTTCTAATAACATTCCATGCATTAATTCTGTGTATGTGCTTTTAATATGATAAAACTGTTTGTTTTTATCAATCTTTTCACAATTCTTTATAGCTTGCAAGATATGGATAACGTTTTTTTAATATTCCTCACTCCACACCTGACTAGACTTACCGGTTTCAGTCATTTTTATATGTTAATTTCACAACAAATTTATTATGACGGTAAATACTTTGCATTCCTGATAGCCAAACAATTACTAAATAAAGAAAAACGTAACCTATAATATGAAAAGAACCCGGTTAAATTTGTATTTTTATACTGGTTGCCTATTTCAAGTAATGGACAAAATATTGTGTGCCTATTTCGTATATTGGGTTATTATTTTGCCTATTACATGAAATGAGCAACGCTGCTGCCTAATTCACGAATTCGCCAAAAAACTGCCGAATACGTGAAATCGGCAATTACGAATGTTCTGTTTGATATGAGCTTTGGAAACTGCGTCGTCGATTGAGATTACCCCTTAGAGTTACAGGGACTGAGATGAGAGGCAGCGCAAGGTAATCTATTGTGTTTATAAATAATTAATAATAAATAATTAATAAATAAGTTGAAAAACATACAGTCGACTAGTATTATTTACACACAATCTCTAGCGTAAAGCTCAGATATTTACGATTACAAGATATGCGTAAAAGTCCTAGGTGAAAATGATTTTAAAATCGTCGTTTCTACAAGACGGACGAGTTAGAAAACAATAATACCAAAGGTAATTATTGTCATTTTCCAGCTACGAGAACAGCGCGATGCAATTTCCCCTTTAATCAAAGCGGAAGCCGCTTTGTCCCGGGGTTTCGCCAGAAGCAAAAAAGGGAAAATCATTTTAATTGACGAACGAAAGCATTGAAGTGCGGGCCATGCATACCGAACGCAGCTGGAAGAAATTAAATGCGAGAATGTGCCGGCGCGACCCAAACTGAACGTGCAAAATTACGGCAAAGCACGACGAAAAGTTCAATTTATTAAATAAAATTATTAAAAACGAAACAATAAAATAAATGAATCTAAAAAAGCATTGAAATGAAGTTTACCGCTTGAATGTTAACGTCACGTTAGAAAACTACCACCAAATATAAAAAATATTTTCTAATATTCTATACTTACAGTGCACTATGAGCATTATCCTTTTGCTAACAGAAGGTGGAACTCCATTCGACGCAATGCACAAATACGGACCCATGTGCAAACGGTTTACCTTGGTAATGTTGAAAATTGGACCTTCTATGCTCGAGACTGAAACAATAAAGAGACAACCACGTGAAAATTTCCGCAAAGCGCAGCGGGAGAGGCGAAAGTTTGACGGAAACGTCGAAATCGTAAATCAAAACATCCCCGCCGAAAATTTTCCCTTAATTTTCCGCAAACGAGAAAGTTTCCGCAAGTAAACTCGAGTAGAATTCCTAACTTTGGAGATGCAGTTTCGTCAGATAAATTGAAAGCTCTTCAACGTAATTAAGATGCCACATAAATCTGCACCCCTGAATGGAGTCTACGTGCCGGTCGTATGATGCTAATGAGGACAATTTGATTTGAGAGTTATACAGGGTGATTATTTAACACAAGACAAGAATGAACTTTTTTTCAATAAGGGGTATCGAAAAACAAAAAAGATACATATTTTGTGTTAAATAAGTTGCTGACATTAGGAAAAAATCGGAATACAGGAATAGTGGAGTATCATAAAATCCCTAAAAGTATCGCATTGTACTCATTTTATCTACTTATCGGACGTACTTGGTACCAGGCAAAGAGTATAAGATATAGGGGAAGGTCGCGTATATTGTTACGAATGCCATCTATTATTTGTGTCCAAGTACTAAAGTACTGTCAAGCCGGTTTAAAGTAATGCGTCACACTGAAAATACTACAGTAGCTTCTGACGGATAACCACTTCATTTATATTTTAATTAAAAAAAAAGCTTAAAACTATTTCGATATAATTTTTTTTCACATTTTACCTTTCAAACTTCGTTTTCATGAGTGGACACAATCACTAGAGGCGTTGAAACTAGTGTACGCTTTTTAACATTGCCACTAATGGGAGCCTTCCCCTCTATCTTATATTCTTTGGTCCTACGGCAGCAGCTGGCAAAATTGGTATATATGGTCAAATTTAGACCTTTTTCTGTGGCTTTCAGACACTCTATTTCAAAAGCTTGGTTTATAAAAAGTTTTGTGCGTATCTTAACCCAAGTAAACAAACGAGAATAGAAAGAGATATTTCATCTTAATTAAAAGAAGAAACACAGAAGGTTTAATTTAGTTTATCATTTGTTTAACTTTTTAATCCCTAATATAAAATAAATCCAAAAATCCTATGGGGGTAACTCATTGTCTAAAATAAATAATAGTTTGTCACATAAATGTTGCATCAAAAGTCCACCTTTTAAAAAATGTAGTGAGCTGCAGTCATTTCTTAGTCGTTTCTTATTATTACTTTATTTGTCATTGCGCAGTTAGTGTGAATACAAAATATGACTAATTTAATCAAAAATGCATTATCTAATCATTAAATTGTTCAAGGATAAGTTTTAAATTAATAATTGGTGAATTATACTAATGCCGAAATAGCAGATGTGCATTTTACGAACGGGCGTGCAAATGGAAAATCCTTAGAAGCTTGTTGCCTACACAAGCGTATCCTAATCCTAGACACATTGCTACGCTTCATTTTAAACAAGAAATCACCCCCTTAACTGTTTGTCATTTGTTTAGAAACATCTTGTATATTCAGTTTTTATAAGTTGGGTCAACAGAGCAGTATTTTTTTTTCGTATCACTCTTAAGGGGGTGGGGGGTATCATTTCAAAAGCTAACAGGACCGAAGTCACGGTTGACCTTTGTGCAACACGTAAGGACAGACAAGGCGACAGGCTTTTGCAAGAGTCCCACCAGAGCCCGACTGAGGCCGAGATTTGTTTTAAGTGAGTAAGTCCTTTTTAGTTCGTGTGAATGAATGAATATGAATAATGAATATTTTGTAATTTTTTCAGCGTATGTTTTCTGTATGTTGTTTTCTGCTGTATGATAAACGTCACACGGGAGGATAAAATTAATCGAGCCTCTCAGTTACAAGGGAACTAAACTCAAAATTCAACAACTGTTTACACACTACTAATAATAATTTATATAACGTATATTATTTATATTTCCGCTATATATACCGTGTGAATTTACTGACAGGCTTATTGTAGAGCAGGGCCGGGCTCAATCCTTTGAGGTATCGCATTGTGGTACTCTCCTGGGTAAGACTTCTAACCATGCAGCAATAATATGCTATGAGTATTTTTAATGCCAAATAATTCAAATTTATGCGTAGAAATATGATATACAAAGAGTCACAATCCAAAGGAAATGGGATTACTGCATATATTCTAAAATGAAGGGTAGCATCGAATCGACAATAATAAACATGAGATAAGATAAGCACTAACAGAGCGGAAAATAACAACGGACCACGATGCATGGAAGTGCAGTTTTTAGAACGAACCAGTACTTCGTTTTCCGTAATCTTCCACGTTCGTATTCATTTGTCATTTTCAAATATTTAGGACTTTTCGTCATAACACCAGTCACAATTTGATTCATGTTTAGGTGGTTGTATAATCTTTAAGCATGAAAATTAGTTGATCGGTTCGATTTTCAGTTAGCAACTAGGCTTTTAATTAAGTAATTCTACGAGGAATCCAGAAATAATTTAAGGGAAGATAGAAATCTATTGGAAATTAAATTCCATCCAAACCCGTTCGAGAAAGGAATACTAATGCGGTTCGCGGCGCTGTTCTGTTTATTAGAGTCGCGTATTATTTAGTCCGATATCATCAATTGTTTAATGAAAAACTTATCTCCGTTTTCGGGTCGCTGAGTAGTAAGCGTAATGGGCTAAATATTTCATTTAGGTGTTTCTGTTGAAAGTTAGTCGGGTATAGGGGAGGTCGACTCTTTATATTTACAAAAAACGAGAAAATATTTTTCTCCAATTGTGTAGACGATTTCTTTTAGATAGTCTTCGATTCATATTTCGAAACAAAATTGATTGGCTTGTTACGCAGATAATGCCATGCGCAAACATAATCGACAATAATCTGCTCGATTAAGCGTCGCTCCATCTGCCCGATGGAGATTGTATTGTTCTCACCCGTGTTACTCATGTTCCTAATTATATATGGCGAAGCAATAAGATGATGGAGTTTATCTGTATAAATTATTGTACAATAATTTAATGTCTAATTGGTAAAATGGCAGAATAGCAAAAGGAGTGGTTTTCCTCCACAGTATTTATTACAAGCCCTTTCACCTGTTGGCCTAATAATACTTTCTTGTACCAGAGAAAAAATATCTTACAAATCCAAAAAACTGTTGATTAATAAAAATCAACGAAATCAAATCGCAACAAATTACTATTGCGTTACATCGCATTTTCTACCAATTACTGGTTTGATATATCTTATCTAATGTTTGGTAGTGATCTGATTAAACGCATTTGTTTAATTTGTGGTATTATATACCATCTGCATTTATAACAAACTATAACTTTCCAACTCAATGACAGAGACCGGAAACAACTTTTTTCTACTACCGTCTGTAAGCGTTTATTAAACACTCGCTCCGCTGCGCTCCGCTCGTGTCAAATAAACTCATGAGTCAAATGCCGTTTACCGCACGTGTTGCATAATATTCTATTTTATTAACGCTCCTATTATCATTAACGCATACTTCAAATCTAGCTTCATCTATTGATTCAGAGACAATAACATGCGTCCTTTGGTCACCGAGAACTTTTCATCTGAATTTTTTGAAGTAAAGGCTTTTACCTCGAAATACCTAATAATGTAAGCTAACGTTGTAAATTTTAAATCAGTTTTCGTGCAACTTTGGGACAAGTTGCTCTTGAAAGCTTTTTTGTGGTTGCTTGATTCCATAATATTTCGATTCGTTATAATTAGTCTGCTCTTGATAATCCGTTTTATTAAATTTGGAATTGGGATGTAGCGAGTGACTGCAATTTTGGTTTTTTGAGCAACAGATTCAGGCGTTTTTCATAATTTAATAATATTTAGAGCTATAACTCGTTTTGTTAACACTGCTAGTGACTTGGGAAGCGCTTTTTGAGTTTTAGTGTTTGTATATTTAATATAATAAAGTTGCTTTTAAAGTCAAAGTTGGCTTCTTAGTATGGTTATCATTTGCTGTACAGAGACCATCTGTACTTTATTCAAGTGAATAAACAGACCATTCAACTCAAATTGTCTCCATGATGCATTCTACTATTGACAAGTCATTTTGCGAAGACTATTTTGAAAAAATAGCCGCTTTCCGTAAACATTTATAGAAACCAATAATATTGTCTTTTAAATAAAATTTTACTTCTCCCTAAAATCAATTCAGAAATAATATGTCTTCAACTTCACTGAGGCAGGGCTGATATATTAATGGTTTAAACCAATATGTTAAATTTAATGAAATCCACCATATCTCTTCCATAAATAGTATTCTTCGTGACAGCCACACTGGTCACAAATGTCACTCTTGAAATTAGGGGAATATATCGAGAAGAACAAACTGTTATCGACCCTGGGGCCAAGAACCTCGTCACTATATCTACCACTACTATTAACGTTCCTCAAAAAGTAGATCGATCGGGTATTAGTCTCCATTTCTCCGTAAAAGTTATTTATTCCAGTTTAGGAATCTAGCTACGGAAAGAACTGACAAAAATTGACTCGAACCGGACACTCTTTGAATTAACGACTCGAAATTTATTGAATAAAGTTGACCATTTGGACCCCCATCACGACCGCGAGGCGACGCGAATGGTGATAATGTCAACTTGATACATGATCGTATGTGTAATTGGATCCATAGCTCACGCACCCCCCGACACGCGAGGTCTTTTAAGATTTCGTGCGGCTACGACCAAAGTGTTAAAATATTATCTTGTTATCGGCGTTTGCTTCCTTCCAATTTATTATTCGGGTAATAAATGACGACCGGCCGCATACTGGCGCTTTAAACCACCCTTTCGTTATCCTTAAATGGAAAACAGTCCGAAATCGGAACTGCCACCCCGCCGGATAAGAATAATTTTCTCCCCCGGCGTTGGAACTTTTGCTTTGTCTGCTGGGAATATTGTGTTACAATTATCTCCCCCTTTTAAACGGGTCAAGTCGGTTATATATTTTTTGTGGTTTCCTATGACGCTTTGTACAGTGCGTCTCATTTTTGATGGTTAT